CTCTCGAGTTGCTGCTGCCTTTTCATCACGGCTGCTATTGAATGGGTGCCTCTCAGATCCGTTCCGTATAGAACGGTCCGTACCGAGACGGCTAATACATAGGTGTAACAGTCGGAAGAAGTGTTAGTTTGTTTACTTAAATGAACCATGCCCATTTTCTTATGGCATGTTTGCTATAAGAAATGCGCCTCGTGTTTATTAGCGAATTTCACATCAAAGATTGATTAATTGAGTAGAAAATCAGTTTGGCACGGCATTTGTGACCAGCATACACCTTCCGGTAGTATGAAACAGGTCAAAAACTGTTCAAATCCGCAGATAAAAAATTTTGTTTTGGATTTCTGTATAGCAAAATAGTGAACTTTTCGTGAAAATTAACGGCAAAGAACTCACCAACACTGGGAGACTGTGAGTTCCTGCCCACCTGTCATTTTCCATCGTGGGTCCGTACCCAGGCGAGAAAGAGAGGTGCCACAGTCGGAAGAAGTGTGAGTTTGTTTACTCAAATGAACCATGCCCATTTTGTTATGGCAAGTTTGCTATAAGAAATGCTCCTCGTGTTTATTAGCGAAATTCACATCAAAGATTTATTAATTGCGTAGGAAATCAGTTTAACACGGCATTTGTGACCAGTATACACCTTCCGGTCGTATGAAACAGGTCAAAAACTGACCAAATCCGCAGATAAAAATTTTTGTTTTGAATTTCTGTATGGCAAAATAGTGAACTTTTCGTGAACATTAACGGCAAAGAACTCACCAACACTGGGAGACCGTGAGTTCCTGCCCACCTGTCATTTTCCATCTCGGGTCCGTACGTCAGGGACGAGATGGAAAATGACAGGTGGGCAGGAACTCACGGTCTCCCAGTGTTGGTGAGTTCTTTGCCGTTAATGTTCACGAAAAGTTCACTATTTTGCCATACAGAAATTCAAAACAAAAATTTTTATCTGCGGATTTGGTCAGTTTTTGACCTGTTTCATACGACCGGAAGGTGTATACTGGTCACAAATGCCGTGTTAAACTGATTTCCTACGCAATTAATAAATCTATGATGTGAATTTCGCTAATAAACACGAGGAGCATTTCTTATAGCAAACTTGCCATAACAAAATGGGCATGGTTCATTTGAGTAAACAAACTCACACTTCTTCCGACTGTGGCACCTCTCTTTCTCGCCTGGCGTCAGGGAGACCCGATGTCGATGCTACTGTTCGTGCTCTGTCTTCATCCTCTTCTCACACGGGTGTCTGCGCTGGTGATCTTTACGTATGCTGATGAAATCACACTAATTGCCACCTCAAAACACACGATAGACCGTATTTATCGGCTGTTTGGTAGTTTCAGGATCGTATCTGGGACAAAGCTAAATCGGCTGAAAACAGTTGCGATCGATGTCGGTTTCATCAATGGAGATCCACTGACGATACCAGGGCTGCAGACAAAGGAGAATGTCAAGGTACTGGGCGTTATTTTCACCAACTGATGATAAAACTAAACTGGGACGCTTTAGTATCCAGGATCTCGCAACTCATATGGTTACATAACATGCGCTCCCTTTCCCTGCAGCAGAAAGTGCTACTGCTGAACATCTTCATCACAGCGAAGGTGTGGTACCTCTCGTCTGTTATTCCACCGCAATGTGCTCACACGGCGAAGCTGACATCAACCATGGGGACTTTCCTTTTTCGTGGGCTACCCGCACGAGTCCACCAAAAGCAGCAGTTGGTGCGCAGCAGAGAGCAGGGTGGATTAAAACTGCAACTGCTTGCGATCGAATGCAAAGCGCTTCTAGTCAATCGTCACCTGCAGGAGATCGTTTCCCTTCCCTACTAAAGGGTGATACGGTCAAAATTTGGTCAAGGGAAAACGCGTGTAAATCGGTGGAATCGATCAAATTAAATTTCTTTTTCAAGTTCAATTAGTATAAAATTCAGGAAAATATTCAGTTAGGCTTCCGCTTTTCCAAATCCGAATTGCCGGGCCTTACGCTTGACCCCTGCCATCAGATTTTGTACAGCCACCTTGTCCACCTTCTTCGCCGCAGAAAGCCAGTTTGCCTTGAACTGCTGCTCGCCCTTAGCAGTTTTTTGGTCTTCTTTAGGTTCCGCTTGACAATAGCCCAGTATTTCTCAATTGGGCGGAGCTCTGGCGTGTTGGGAGGGTTCTTGTCCTTGGGAACCACCTGCACGTTGTTGGCGGCGTACCACTCCATGGCCTTTTTACCGTAATGGCAAGATGCCAAATCCGGCCAAAACAGTACGGAACAACCGTGTTTCTTCAGGAAAGGCAGCAGACGTTTATTCAAACACTCTTTCACGTAAATTTCTTGGTTGACAGTCCCGGAAGCTATGAAAATGCTGCTTTTCAAGCCACAGGTACAGATGGCTTGCCAAACCAGATATTTCTTTGCGAACTTTGACAGTTTCATGTGCTTGAAAACATCTGCTACCTTTCCCCTTCCTTTTGCCGTATAAAACTCCTGTCCCGGAAGCTGCTTGTAGTCGGCTTTGACGTAGGTTTCGTCGTCCATTACCACGCAGTCAAACTTCGTCAGCATCGTCGTGTACAGCCTCCGGGATCGTGCTTTGGCCGTCGTATTTTGTTTATCATCGTGATTTGGAGTCACTACCTTCTTGTAAGTCGATAGTCCGGCTCGTTTTTTGGCTCGATGCACGGTTGTAGACGATACACCCAGCTTATTTGCGGCATCTCGGAGAGAGAGGTTAGGGTTTCGCTTGAAACTACCGGCAACTCTCTTTGTCGTCTCAGCGGCTTCCGGTTTTCGATTTCCCCCCGATCCAGACTTCCTGGCTGTCGACAAACGTTCCCCAAACACTTTAATTACATTTGTAACGGTTGATTTGGCAACTTTTAGCGATTTTGCCAACTTTGCGTGCGAGTAGCTCCGATTTTCGCGATGCGCGAGCAAAATTTTGATACGCTGCTCTTCTTGCTTGGACGGCATTTTGACAACTGAAGAGTGAATTCCAAAATCAAAATAGGAGCAACATTCTACACACACACACCTTCAAAATGAGGGGTGTTCAGGTTTTTTAAATGCAAAATTGAAAGAAATACGTCAAGTTGATATTGAACAAATTTTGAACGTATCACCCTTTATCAGTCTCTTCTCGCCCAAAATATTCCTCCTCTCACCGATCTTCCTTGCCTAAAACTTCTCTCACAGCAAATTCCTTTATTTCCACACCACATCCAACAAAACCCCTCCAGTGAACAAATCCATCGTTTCTACTTGGAACAAACTGAGCTACCCAGAGTGGAACGAAACCATACAGGCATCCATTGGAAAAAGATCTGGATGGAACATATCAGGCGTAACATTTGATAACGGCACAAAATCTTTTGTAAACAAACTTTTTAAGGCCCTTTAAACGCGAACCGAAGTACGCTCACGCAAACCAACAACATCATCGGATAGGGGCAACTCTTACCTTTCCGAAAGTGGAATTGGTTTGCGTGAGCGTACTTTGGTTCACGTGTAAAGGGCCTTAGAAAGTTTGTTTACAAATGCTTTTGTGCCGTTATCAAATGTTATGCCTGATATCATCGAGAAGGCTATCGTCGAGCCAGCATACTGATCTCTACTTGCTAGTGAACGAGAAGACGGAGCACCGTAGACTGATGAACGTCATCGGCCGTGCAAGGACCCAAACTGTCAACACTGTGCGGTAGGAATAGAGACTTTGCAACATACGTTTTGCGAGTACCCTCGAGTTGCTGCAGCTTGGGCAAACATCCAGCGAAAATTGACGACGACGCTCGGCGGCTGGCAGAGGCTGAGCTTCGACGATCTTGTACGGCCAATCTTGGGTAACATCCCTAATAACAATGTTATGGTTAATTTGCTTAACGACGTGTTCGAGGTATCATCCAAACCATTTGTGGAATAGTTCAATCATTAGGGTTATCGTTCGTTTATGGTAATTTTTTATTAGGGATGACAACAGCGATAAGAAATTATATTTTAAAAAGGTTCATTAAGTACATCAACTTTGTTAATGTGAATATTAATATTTTTTAATATCTTGAATAGGTGAAATGGATATAATGTCGGCCTAAATTCCCCTACCTAATTTGGGCCCATACATAAATTCAGCAATCGACTAAAATTTTAATAGCAACCAAAAATATCAATTCGTACCGTCTCAATGACGCGTTCATCTAGATAGATCTAGACAAATAGCAGATTTTTAGCGATGTTCCAATCTTAGATCCATAGGCCAGCCATTTCCTCTATGTTATTTATTGCAAAAAAAAATATTTTGTAGATTCCACAGTTTTGCCCAAATTCGAATAATCCTTCTCGGATATTTTATTTGTAATTCCAAGTCATCAAAATGCTAATATCAAAACATATTTTGATATGTTCAGCCAAGGTGTCCTACCCCGTCCCGTGTCATTTACCCCCTGTATTTATTTGTTTGTATATTGAAAAATTCAACTGACAATTGTTATCTAAATGAATAAAACTTAAACTAAATAGTTACGGTCAACGATACGGAAAAGGCCAAGTAACCCATGACGAAACACGCCAGCTGATACATTGGAGTCGAACATAGGGGAAATGGCTCTAATGTTGGCCTATGGATCTAAGATTAGGCTCATCGCTAAAAATCTGCTATTTATCAATTGTTTCTAGATGAACGCGTCATTGGGACGGTACTTATGGATATTTTTGCTATTGAAAATTTAGTCGATTACTGAATTTATGTATGGGCCAAAATTAGGGACACTTAGGCCAACATTACATACATTTCCCCTATAAAACAAGTTGTTGAATTGCCGGTTGATTGCTCGAATTGGCTCGTGTTGTATATAATTTCGGCGCCGTGGTTCTACTACTCATGATGAAATAAATATATTGAAATGTTTAAACAGTGTTTCAATCGCAAAATAGGCACTCAACAAATCGTTTAAGGGTGGTTTTTTTTTGCACCACCCCTAGATAGTTGTTTGTCACAATCCACAATGACTCACCGGATTCCTTTGCGCATAGTACGCATTGTTTCTGGCCTGCACCTGCTGAGCAACGCTCGCTCCGGCGGATCCAGCTGACTGCGGCTGGTAGAATCCAGGGTACGAGTTGAATGCATTGTACAGCCCGAACGGTCCGAACGCACCGAATGGATAGGGTAGGCCTGCATCATGTAGCACCGGTTGCACCACGGGATAGGCTCGGCTCGGGGTCAAATTCTCGTCAGTCGTTATGACTGCATTGTAGACCTTCGGCGTCCTCAGTAGACCACCAAGGGCCGGGCTGGCACAGAACGTTGACACCACCAGCAGTGGTACGAGCACCGTGACCTGGTCAGAGTAGAAATAAAAACAGTGAAGGTAAATAAGTGATAAATCACCCAGGTTGTGATTGGAATAGCAGCGAATGGAAAACCGGCTTTAAAATCTCAAAACTGATCGATCAACATTGTTGAGCGATGTTTAATTACACTGATTGTCGGTAACAAGCTGGTTAAGTTTGGCTTTAGCAGGGTGATCGACGAGAACTGCGTTATTAGAAGAGAGCAGGATTTTGTGATTCTAAGAGTTTGGCACGAGGCAGTCGTCGTTTGGTCCATGACTTATCGGTACCTAAATCGTAATTTACCAGCAAAGTACATTCGATCAAGGACTGCAGGTTTCGATAGATCTGCAAACGGCGTGTTTCAGAGCTGGAACTGAATAGCATTGATCAGGCAATAAACTAGCGTTATCGATTAATGAATGGCCACGTGAGGTGATTGTTGGTAGAATATCGTGATATACTGTTGGAATCCATATTCTGGTTTTAATTACTTTTCTCATAATGATCATTGTTTTATAGCTGGGATTAGTTTTGTTTTCGTTTCATGGACTGTTATTTACATTGCCACAAAAAACATTAATTAGTGCCAATTAAGATTGAAGGTAAGATTGGTAGTAGTTGCTTTGTTATTGCAATGTTGAATATCCTTCAGTAAACAATGCCTTTGTTTCGAAGTGTTGTATATTTTCAGGGCTGATTGGTCTCCCTAAGAATTAATTTCTCATTGCTTAGAGATTTAATCTTATTCAAATACTCTTTTGCTGAAGTGGATAGATTTCGTGTGTTCGAGTTTCGATTTAATTAATTTTAACCAATCAAACTCTTTAGTTTAGAGTAAATAAAAAACATTTTAGACATTTGTGAACTATTACATGGGTGTAGGACACACCTCAAACTATTGCTGCGCTAACTCGAACTTTTGCCTCACTATAGGCTATTCCAGCATCCTTGATGGCATATCAAAAGTCTGATACTCCTTTTAATCCTACTGAAGAGTAAAGTTAACAGAGTTGGGAGAAGATGGTATACCAATATCAACAAGAAGCTTTAGTGCGATACTTTATTAGCTAGAGAAAGTTCTAAAGAGGATAGATTGCTGTACCGTCGTTAGAGTACGGATGTGTGAAAATTGAACAGAAGTTGAAATTGAGTGAAGGCCATTAATGCGACAATACTTATCAAGTGTGCACTCGTTTGCCTAGCTCTGGTGAGGGGACTATTGAAATCCACAAGCAAAGAGTGCGCGTTTGACTAGCTCTTATACTGTCTTGTGGCTGCGAAATAGTTCTAGCGACGTTTATCATTACCTAAAGCCCCACGTTACCCCCATGGTATGCTATAATGCAACTCTTCTTTACCCAACTATTGTTTGCTTCTCTCACCATGATCAACGCAGTCATCTAATAGAGGAACAGTACACCACCCTACTCTACCCTTGCGTAGTCATATTAACAAATAAAACGATTTACAAATCTTGAATGTGGATGGGTTTGAGATTAGCCTCACGATGTTTTGCTCAGTAAGCAAAAACGGTCGCTCTAAGGCCACCGAGCCCTTCATATCCGAATACGACGATAAGTTTCGCAAAATACACGATAACCAAGCGATTTTACCATAAATCTCTTTAATATTAATGTTCCTGGGACCGCGTTTTTCTGCTCGGTAAACAAGCCGCTGCAAGCAACGATCTTTCAAATCCGAAAATTAAATGCTACGAAAAAGCACTTAGGCCTTCATTAAGGTCCACTTTCACGCGACGTTATTTTCGATATGATGTACACAATATAAAAAATCATAACTACCCGAGACTAGCTACTACTAACAAGGCACAAAAAAAGGTCCAAAATGCGTTCCATTGCTGAGGGAAGGTCCATTAATTATGTCACGCAAATTTGACCCATTTTGTTACCGGTCAATCACCGAGAACAATGGCTTTGAAGCTGATTGGCTTTGTACAGCTTTTGCCATAAATATAATTAAATTTATAGGAGGCTAGTTTATTAAATTTACTTGCTATAGGAAGGCTCACTCATACGTAAATATCTGTGTTTTGCATTATATACATTTTTTATTTACTATATCTTAAAACTAAATTTGTTAATATATGTTTAATCTAAAATTTATTACCTATATAAATAGTCACCCAGCCCCATACTTAATATATGTAAAGCGTCGCATGCAGCTATACGATGTTTAAAAGAAATAAAAAAAAATACCTTTGAACCAATATAAATCGCGCTTGCGTCATTTGTTCAATGATTATAATATAAATGAGAAAAAAGACGGCAAAGTTCCGCACTAAAATAATATAACAAAAAAAAACTAACTGATGGAGCAAAATGGGTATGTTTTCCCATTTCCGGAAGACAACCGGCGAAAGAGAGGAGAAAGAGAAGTGAGAAAGAGTTGGAAAAAGAGTGGATGAAGAAGAAGGAAGGTTGGAGATGACTGATGAGGGAGAATGTACGGGACCATCACGGAAGTCAGACGTGTAAGAAGTTCGTCGCGGCAACTTATTGAAGTTTTTTATATAGTTGGAGCCATCTTTAATAGAGGTGATACAGTGATACCGTACTTGCCCGCGGTTATAATTACGGATTCTAAGCCGAAATACTACGGATCGTAGATAGTGCGTTCACGTAAAAAGTTCGCGAGTGAGTGTTCGGAGATACCTGGTTTCTATCACGGACCAGTCATATTCCGTGGGTATCGTTAGAAGCGGTTTCCGATCCAAGCTCCAGGATTAGGGAGATCCCGTTAAGTTTTGCCGAGGGAATTTCGAAGGAACGGCGTACTACTGGATCAGGCAAAAAAAAAAAAGAAAAACCGTAGCCAGCAGAAGGATCCACTGGAAGGAGCTGCCTCGAAACGCCGCTGCCAAACCACGTGGGTCGTGAAAATTGGTAGGAAGCCCCGTTGGACATCAACCAGAACCACGAGGGAATTCCGAAGGAACGGCGTATTGCTGGATCAGAAAAAAAAACCGTAGCTCGTAGAAGAATTACTGCATGAAAGTAGCTGCCTCGAGACGCCACTGTCAAACCACGTGGGTCGTGGAAATTGGAACCGGTGTACATCGAGGAACCGCCAAGAATCAACCCTCAAGGAACCCAAGAAGGAACCCCAACCACCGGACAATATACCCATCCCAGGTGCAGGTAGTCACCGAGCCCCCAAGTTATTTCGGTCGGCTACACACGGCTGCGGAGCGGAGAAGCGGACGTTATGGAGGTATCAGCCTGGTAAGGTCCGGAGGGTTCGCCCCCGCTTTCCAGTGTTTGGTACTGATGTGCCTCTCCCCCTTCCGTGAGCATCTTCAGCAAAGGTATGTCGACAATGCAACTCTCTCTCTCTCTCCACCGCATGGGCCCCAACCGGAGCTGAACGGCCGCAACGTTTCCCTTTTCCTCTATCCCCTCCCATAACCCCACCCCCCCCCCCCCTCCTACCATCCCATGTGTCTATGAATAAAAAAAAAGTCAAATGAACTTGTGTGCGTCTTATAATTTCTAAAACTCGAGCCTTAGGTGCATGTCAAGTCTGTTGAAAATCAAGCGAGCATGATCCGATTTCCAGTTTGTCGTAAACTGTACAGATCGTGATCTGTACAAACTACGACCAACGATTAGTCCTCTTCCACCTTGAAAATACGTTGTTGCGTAGGCAACTCACAAATAACAAATACATTGTTAGACTGAGTCAAGCTCAGAGAAGTGAGTTTCGCTCATTATATCCACAAATCGCAACATGTGCTTTTTTCACGAGACGAGAGTGAGTGTCTCTCTGTGAGTAGCATTCTTTGGCAGTTTGGGGTTACAGAGCAATAGCGAATTTGTTTATTCCCAGGTTGGTACCAGTTCTAACCTAGTGCAAACCCGAACTTTTTTCAGCGAGAAAGTTGACCCGTGTCAGGTTATAAAAACAAACGATCAAACTGACGTTTGCTAGAGAACAAGCCGACCCTAACTTGATACCCAATCCAGGTTGGAACGGTATAATAAACAAATTCACTATAAGCAAGCATCAGCAGATAGGTGCTGACCATCGGTAGGGGAGAACAGTCTATTATGCACCCCCGGGGTAAAATGGCGCCGTGCGGGTTTTCGTTGCTTTCCCATTACTAATTCTGTAAATATCATGTGCCAGAATGTTAGTTTAAGCACTGAACTAGCAATGCTGATGGTTAAATTGACGAATTGACAATCGGAAAGCTATGAAAAACAGTGCAGGGCCATTTTACCCCAGGGGTGCGTTTTGAACCATCCTACCCTAACTTTTAACACGAAAGCTGAAACGGGGCGATGTACGGTTTCTATAGGTGAGGAGGATGCAAACAAGTCGACTCTTTCAATCTCTCGGTTTCTAATGCGCTACGTCACGTCTGTTGCTGTATTAGAACGCGATGAGAATGAAAGACTAGCTTCCTTGCACCTCCCTGTAAATAGCGCACATTTGGCTCAGTAGTTCATCGGATAGTTCTGTCAACACGGTGAACTTTTCCTTTCTTTTTTACTCCACCGAAAGGACCAATAATGCCGCCAACGCAAATACATGCATCTTTTCTAATTCACAGACTGAAAAAAAGCAAAAAAAATCACGATCATTACGGCAATGATCATGATCTGATCACGGTTGTTCATCAGTTGTACATAATCCGAACAACTTCTTGTACTCAGCTGTACGCATTGAGATCTTTTGTTTGTAGCGTGCACTCACAACAAGCCTTGCGTAGTATAAGTAATGTATCGTGAGTGCACACAGCAATGATGTTGTTATCGTCTTGCTCTCTGGAGATCTTGGTAACTCACTTTTCGAAATGCTCTCTGCGTATTTGTGTTTAGAGTCAGAGTTCATCGTTAGCTTATGATGATGCCAAAAAATCTTGTAGCAGGTGTGTGCGTATTCATTGATCGCTAGATGCGATTTTTTGACATCACTTTTGAACTTCAAAGTGATTGTTGGTCTGGTGATAGGTCCACTTTGTCCCCCGACGAGTCTGCTTGGA